CTAATAAAATAAATATTAACTTATTAAATAGGTGATTAAAACTAATAAAATAATCTATAAACTATATAAAAATATTAAAAAAAATATAATATATAATATAGAGCTAAAAATAAATATATATTAATAAAAAAAAAATAAATTCTATTACAATACAACATTATATAGTCTAAACAATATAAAACAGATAATATATAATATAGCAATTAATAATTCAAATAAGATTACAAAACAAGATTTATTAATTTACAGTCAGGTTTTGGAGGTACTAAAGCAAATTGAAACTAGAAGTCTTAAAAAAATATTAATTAAAACATAAGCAATAAAAGCAAGAATAATGCAAAATAACTCAGACTTAATCAGCTATATAACTAATATGAGTAGTTCAGAAATATCAAAAGAAAAAAAACAAAATAGAATTAGAAAATAAAGATATAAATATTAGGATTTAGTAACATGATCAAAAAAAAAAAAGACAAGACAAAACAACAGATGAAATAACAGAAGAAAATAGTTAAAATTACATTAATAATATAGAAAACATTTCTATTATTGCAAAAGCTAGCATATTAAACTAAAACTACTTATTAACAAACTTAGAAAAATTAACAATCAAGATTGAAAAAGCTAAAAACAAAAATAAAAAATCTAAATAATATTGAAAAGCAAAACATATAAAATCAAACTATGATTTTCTAGTTTTTCTAATAAGAAAAAAAATATAAAAACCTAAGAAATAAGTTTGAAAGAACAAATCACCTTAGTGTCATTAGAGAATAGTCTTTAGTTATCACAGAACAGAATATATGAGGTGCCTCATATTAAAACAGCCCATTTTGACAATTTTTAAAAAAATTTTTTATATAATTTTTAAATAGATATATATTCAATAAAAAAATTTGTTATAATTCACAAAACCTAATTATATAATAAAAAATCTATAAAAAGCAAAAAAACCTGCAGAACTAAAAAAATCTAAAAATAGAATAAACAGATTTCTAGATCAACAAACAACTAATAGAATATTTTAGAAGCAAAGATCTTCTCAAATTCTAGTAATAATCTTCTAACTAGACTTCCAAAAGGCAAGGTTAAAACCAGTTATAAAGGTTTTTTTTTTCTCTTTTTTTTATATAAAACTATATGTAATAACAATCTTTTTTTTTTAACTAAAATTTTAATAGGTAGTGATAGTGTTGGCAGGCAAAATCTATGAGTTTCACTACAGATAAAAGGTGAAACTAGTTTTGACTTTCACTAAAAAAAAACTAAAATAATAAAATGGCAAAACTGACAAAAGGTAGCAAAACTAGCGAACTGCTAATAGGTAGAAAAATTAAAAAAAGTAGTAAAATTAGTAAAAAAAATAGTAAAACTAGCAAGAATAGAAAGGTAATTAAAGGAAATTAAAGTTTTTTTATATAAATCATCAATATTTTTATATGAATTTAACTTTTTATAAATTTTTACTAATATTATAAAAATAGATGGCTCAGTCTTTTCAGAAGTCTTAGAGGATTTGATCTTCATTAAGTTTTAACTTTTTTTAGAAGTTCAACTTTAGTAGAAGTTTTGCCAGAGTTTTGGCATTTCAACAGAGTTTCACTATTTCGACAGAGTTTTGCCAATTTCACCTTTTGCTGAGTTTAGTTTTATTTTTTACTATTTGCCAAAAATAGTTTTATCTACTAACACTAGATAGTGATCTAAACTATAGCGTGAAAGAATTGGTTTAAAAACTACCAACTAGTGATAGGCTAAACTAAATTGAAAACTATTAGTAATAAAAGGTTAGAGTTGGTTATTAAACTACCAGTATTGAAACTAGTGATACAAATCAACAAAAATTTTTCAATTAATTAGTTGATAGATTATTTTATCTAATTATTTGATTATTCAATTTTTTTCAACTAATCGATTAGTTGATTAGTCGATTAATCGACTAGTTGATCAATCGATTAATCGATTGATCATCTAATTGGATAATCGATTAACATATTAAAAAAAAAATTTCAATTTTGAATTTAAAATTTTATTTTTATTAAAAATTTTGAAGTTACTTTTAAGTCAATAGAGCTTTTAGATTAATAGCAATATAAAAACATATAACTTAATTCAAACTAAATAGAAATATTTATTACTAAAGCCAAAGGTTTAATGTTTTAAGCTTTATGTAATTCTATACATTTCTATAGCTATATTATTTTCTGCCTTTCTAATATATAAATATATGTATAATAATATTTAATAAAAGGATGATAAAAAAATATCTGTTATATATATTAAAAAAAACTTTTCATCTAAGAAATTTTTTTTTTAATCTATCACACTACTAATAATTTTATGTTTTACTTATTTAACAGAGGAAAAATTTCTACATATATTAAATTTCATTTTAAAAACAATAATTTGTCTACAAGATGTAGATCTAATTGATTTTACTTTAAAGTAACATGGTTGTTAGCATCTGAAAACAATCATTCAAAAGGAACAGAAGTGGCAGAAATCACAAGATACTTTCTTGCAAGAATGGAAAGAATAGAAAATTGATTTTTTTGCTTACTTCACTAATCTAGTGGATTATTTTCTTCTGTTTGATCTGCCTCAGTAATTGAAAGGTACTTATCAATTTCATTTTGATTAATAGATTCATCATCATCATTTCAAATTAATAAAAAAAAACTTTTTATAGCAGATTTTTTTTTTGTTGTTTGCTTTGTTGAACTTGAATTAGTAGTTGTTGTTTAATTAACTTGTCTATTTACTTGCCTACTAAGCTCATTAAATTGACCTTTTAATTCTTCAATGGTTTTTCTTTGTAACAACTATTATAATTTAATATAAATATAAACTAGTTATACACATCAAATTAATTTTAGTTATACTTACATTAGAACAAAAGGATAATCTTTTAAACCTGGGATCAAGCAAGGATGCATATAATTCATATTTAGGTGATGACAACCAACAACTTATTAAATTATTAAGGATGGTATTTTTCACTTTATTTATAATATCAAATTTATTATTTATATTATTCAAATGATTAATTAACTCTTTTATTGTTGGTACTATAATACTCAAAGTAGCATAATTAGAATCAGAAAGAAACTCTATAGCTTTGTGAAATAGATGCAAAAGGTCAACAAGATCACGTATAATTTGAAACTCATTATTAGAAAGTAACTTTTCTTGAATATTACTACCATCATGCTGATGCTCAATATTTGTAGAATTTTTAAGATCATTAACTAACTACCTAATTGACCTTTCAAGTTTTGTAAGTTTTTTAGTGCTATATATATGGAATTTTACTAAGTATCTACATCTTGAATTACATCAATAGTTTTTGATTTTTTTTTTGCCAGTACTAATTTGTGTCTCTCATAATTGTTTATGTTTTTTTTTTCACTCAAAAGTCTAATTAATGCTTTACATTTTATAATTAGATCATATACTTTATCTAAGTTTGCATTAACATTTAATTGTAATGTATGTGCTGCATAAAAAATATTAACAACAGGCTTGGGTGGTAAAATTTTAGTTGAAAGTTGTATAACAGCTGCCTTAACATTCGAACTGTTATCTGTTGTGATACTTACTAGGTTACTTTTACTAATGCCAAATTTTTCCAATACAGGTTCAATTGTACTAACAATGTTACTAGTAATTTTATACTCACCTATCTCAATTATACTTAATGTTGAATCATACATCTTAAATTTATCAAAGATCTAGTGACACATTAACCCCAAGTAAGAATCATGTGCCTGAGATGTTCACAAGTCAAAGGTAAGTGATACTATATCTGCTTAGATGCTAATCATGTAGTTGATAGTTTTTGTTGTATAAATTGTTGCATCTGAAATTTCATACTTAAGTGTATTTATACAAGGTGCTTTATATCGAGGATCAAAAGAATTTAAAAAGGTACAAAAATTCTCATTTTCTATTAAAAACAAAGAAAGGATACAAGAAAGAAACAATTTAACTATATTATAGGTAAGTTTTTGTTATATTTGTTTGAAATATGGTTTTGTTAAAATTGTTTCAAGTGTTTGTTGCAATGGTTTTTTAAGTTCTTTGATTGTTTTATTTTCCAGAGACATTTTTGTTATATAATATACATTATGAAGATAATTAATCATGTTAGAAGTTGAGCTATCTCATGTGTACTCTACTTCACAATTTTCAATTGAACATCGAACTTTTGTTACTCTTTTATTATCATTTTCATATTCAAAAAGGTCAAAAAATAACCAAGCAAAACTATCTTTAGAATTTTTCTTATATCAATTTTTTTTTTGTTTTTTATTTGAAGTCAGTTGAGAATATAAATCAGTAATATCTTTCTGATCAATGCGGTTTGATTTATTTCTAGGAATTAAGTCATTTGAACTAAAACTTGTTGTATCTATTCTTTTAGATAAACTATCAGCACTAGAGGTCGAAGTCATTATTGTAATGAGACTATTAAATACTAACACGAAAAAGAGAAAACAAAAACAAATAGACAAAATAATTGTTTGTAATGATTTTTGTTATAACTTTAGAAGAAGGAAAAATTAAAAATCTCATAACTTTTTATAATTTTAGGTATTATATAATTGTGAGTTAACACCAATCCGCATGTTATTTGAATATGTTCACATGGATATTTTAAATAAAGAATCAATTTCCAAGCTTGTAATTACTTTATTATAAACATGCTAATATAATATGAAATGTGCATTATTTCATGGCTTTTATGGGTGTTACTTCAAATAATGCATACATTTTTGAAAAATTGATTTTTTTTGAAATAATGTCTACTTTTTTTCTTTCGATTATACTATATAATATAACTACAAAGATTTTGCTACTTTCTATCTTTTGGAACTTTGGGGCAATATGACAAGTATAGATATATTGCGTAAGTTCAAAAATTTTTTAACAATATTAACTATTATTGATTTTTTAAATTTAGATATGCCCATATAGCAATGAATATGTGGATTGTGTATGAATTTTAACAATGTTTGACTTAATTAATTATTGTCTAAATTATATGAACACATAGAGAGAAATATCCTTACTCTTAAAAATTAATCTGTTTCTATGAATTCGAGATGATTTTTAGATTTTTGATTACTGTATTGTTGTGAAATAATAGGCATGAGTGTTATTTAGACAATTGTACTCTATAAAAATAACATAAATGATTTCAAAATAATGCCTATACGTGTTTCAAATAATACACACCCACTGTAAACAATTTGAAAGTTCAGGTTTGGGAAAATTATTTTTTGTTTCAAAATAATGCTTATATGCATATTCTAAATAATGCATATATATTCAAAATAATGTGCAAATAGGTGTTATTTCATGACAATATGGTATGTAACTTTAGTTAATTCTTGTATTTATTTTTATTCTTAACTAAATATTGACCTTATTTAGGTTGGGACTTAAAAGTCAATGATCATGTTTATGAATTATGATAAAATTACCAATATGCATTTTTTTTTATATGCATTTAATCTAGAGCTTGATTATATGCTAGTAATACTACAAAAATTGATCTTGACTTTCATGAAAAGTCTATTCAAATTAGAACCCAGGTCAAATGTAAAAATAATGCATATGCTAGCATTTGCAGGATCCTAATAGTTATGATAATAGTTATAGTATTTTATGGTTAGAGCATGCAAGATCTTATAATAATGCATAGTCAGATATAAAATCACATTATTAAGTTTTAGTAAAGTAAAAGCTTTACAATGGTATATCATTTTTTTTATTTTTCTGTTTATATAACAATTATAGTTATAACTAGGGATAGGAAAATTGAATCTGCTGCGCAGACCTGCATTATGGCTAATTAGAACCAAAATTAGGGACACAAAATTTATGTGATTTAGTGATAACTTGTGTTTGTTAAGAGCTATTAGTTACACAAAAATTAATATATAATAATTAGTAATTATATAATTTGATGTAGCTTGTCAAGAATCATACTAAAACAAAATCACATAATTTCTGTATACCTGGCCAAAATTCTGATACATCCTAAAAATTTCCAAGCTTCTGAAACTTTCCGCCTGCCCAGTGTCCTATTTCTAGTTATAACAATCATCTTTCTTTTAATTAGTTATTATAACATGCTATTGCTATAGAGAGCTAAGTTTAGAAGACTATTTATTGTTTTGTA